TAATAAAGCAAGAATCTCTAGAGAATGTCAAAGTGTTCTTTTACAAATGAGTGTTCCATTCCCCATATAACTATGTTTCTTTCTATTTATAAGGGGTCATGTGACATAAAACCCTAATAGTACAGATCTTAGAAATATTCACTGTAATATTCTCTTTAAAGTCAGATCAACAAAACTAGCCGTTACTGCTCCGTTAAGGAGAGTACTCATCCTCGACCTTGATCTCTGTTGACTCCTCGACCTAGCCCCTAACTTTCGTCAGATCACTTCAGCCTTGAATCCGTCTTTTGTTGAAATCATACTGATGACATGTGGCAGCCTTCGAAGACTCTCATAGTGCTAATGTGGCCTAAATATAACTAGGATAATTTTGGCCTATACACGTAGGTTAGGAAATATACCATTGATACAAAATACTAATATATAGAAATATTATGAATTGTTTGATTAAATGATTCACAATTCAACAACACAACAGAGGATATTTGTATTTGTTATTTGCTTAACATAAGCTTTTTATAAAATTACCTTGGCAATAAAAGCTGAAGAATCTCTGAATCTTGCAATACCAACAACAACAATAGCATGAGCTTTCTCAAAACTAGGTGCTTTAGCAAGTGAAACTCCTGCAACCAAACCCCTCATTTCAAACCATCAAGAGGTATAAGACAAGGAGACCCTCTATCCCCTTATATGTTCATCATGTGTATGGAAAGATTCTTTAGGTTAATTGATGAAGTTGTTCAGACAAAGGAGTGGTGCCCAATCAACATTAGTAGGTCTAGCCTAAAGATCTTTCATATGTTCTTTGCTGATGACCTAACATTATTTTCCAGGGGTGACCAAAAAAATTGCTCAACAATAATCATCAATACTTAAAACTTTTTTAATCAGGCTTTAGGCCAAAAAATTAACCTCACAAAGTTGAGGGTCTTCTTCTCTGCTAACTGCCAACCCCACCAAATGGAGGCTAACTCTGCCAGCTTATCCATCTAAGCCTCATATACCTTTGGCAAATATTTGGGCTAACCCATCTTCCATAAAATGCCAGTTAATAGTGACTTCCAATTCATCATTGACAACATGCACTCCAAACTAGCTGGGTGGAAAACAAGCTTCCTAAACATGACTGGGAGAACTACCCTAGCAAAGCCTCCCTGTATAGCATACCAAACCATGTCATGAAATTCATCAAGCTCCCCTAAAAAACCACAAAAGCAATAGATAAAATACAAAGGAACTTCATCTGGGGTACTGTAACGACCCGGCCGGTCGTTTCGAGAGTTATAGCCCCGTTTTCCTTATTTCTACTTCTTTTTGTGTTATTCAGCTATATTATGTTATATCGGGTTAGTTGGTTAGGGTCCGGAAGGAACTCAGAGTGAAATGAGACACTTAGTCTCATAATTGAAAAATTGAGTTAGAAAAGTGGACCGGATATGGACCTATGTGTAGACGATCTCGGATTTGAATTCTGATAATTCCAATAGCTCCGTATAGTTATTTTGGGCTTAGGAGCGTGTCCAGAATATTATTTGGAAGTCCGTAGAGGAATTAGGCTTAAAATGCCGAAAGTTTAATTTTTGAGAAGTTTGACCGGGGGTTGACTTTTTGATATCGGGGTCGAAATCCGATTCTGAAAATTGAAATACCTCTGTTATGTCATTTATGACTTGTGTGCAAAATTTGAGGTCAATCAGATGTGATTTGATAGGTTCCGGAGTCATTTGTAGAAATTAGAAATTTCAAAGTTCATTAGGCTTGAATTGGGGTGTAATTCATGGTTTGAGCATTGTTTGAGGTAATTTGAGGGTTTGACTAAGTCCGTATAATATTTTAGGACTTGTTGGTATATTTGGTTGAGGTCCCAAGGGGCTCGGGTGAGTTTCAGATGGTTAGCGGGTTAGATTTTGGTCTTGGAACTGTGCTGGAATTTTTCTGATGCACCATCTATTTTCCTTCATCGCGTTCGCGAGTGGAGCCTCGCGTTCGCGAAGAGGAACTGGGAGGCTGGCAATAGTTGCTCTCCGCGTTCGCGAAGGGTGGACTGGGTGTGCATCGCGGACGCGAGAGGTGTTACGCGTTCGCGAAGAAGAGAGGAAGCAGCCAAAGACCCCCAGGCAATTGGTCTACACGTTCGCGTAGGGGGGTGTCACGTTCGCGATGGGTTGAACGCATTCGCAATGGGTTGAACGTGTTCGCGTAGAAGGCATTGAGGCAGAGGCATTTTGTGCTTCGCGAATGCGAGGGTGTTGTCGCGTTCGCGAAGGAGGAAATTGGACGGGAGTTATTTTGTGCTTCGCGAACGCGAGACACTGACCGCGTTCGCGAAGAAGAAAAGTCTGGGTAGTGAGTTTAAGTTCTGAAAGTTTTTGGCGATTTGGAGCTCAGAATTGAGGCAATTTTGGGTGATTTTCAGAGGAAACAACGGGGTAAGTGTTCTTAACTCAATATTAGTTAAATTACCCGAATCCATGGTTGTTTTTATCATTTAAATTGGTGAATTGAGTTGGGAAAAATTTGAAAACCCTCTTGGTTTAAATTGAAGATTTGAGGGTCGAGTTAGGGTAGGATTTTTGTAAAAGTGGTATGGTTAGACTCGTGGTTGAATGGGTTTTCGGATTTTGTAACTTTGTCGAGTTCCGAGACGTGGGCCCCACAAGCGATTTTTGAGCTAATTTTCGGATTTTTATGAAAAATCATTATTATCTTGTGGAATTAATTCCAATGAATTTTATTGACTGAAACGAATTATTTATGACCAGATTCGAGGCGTTTGGAGACCAATTCACGAGAAAAGGACGTTGCAGAATAAGAATTTCGTGGTTTGAGGTATGTAACAATTGTAAATCTAGTCCTGAGGGTATGAAACCCCGAATTTTGTATCATTCTACTATTTTTAGTGACGCACATGCTAGGTGACAGGCGTGTGGGCGTGCACTGTTGGGGATTGTGACTTGGTCCGTTCCGTAGCAACTGTAAAGTTGCATACTTTGTTGAAACTATATGATACTTATATGTTTTAGAAAGAGTTTCTGTAAATTGGGCTGAATGCCATGTTTGGGCCTTGTGCCAATGCTGTTTGGACCCTTAGGGGCTTTATCTTACTATCCTCTCATTGTTTGCGATTGAAAATCTATACTCAGTTATGTTTATATTTGNTGAGTGATTGTGAGGTATGCCCGAGTGGCAAGAGTGATTGTGAGGTATGCCCGAGGGGCTGTTTATGATTTCATCATTTTTGCTCATCTTTGCATTGAGCCTTTGTTTGAAAAACTGTGGGAAAAATATCTTTAAATGATTTTTACTAGAACGAGGTTTAAATGAGATGATTTGATTCAAACACTGATTTTTAAAGCATGTTGTACTTTACTGAGATTTCATGATATGAACGTTATATGCTTTATTGCTCGTCATTACAGCTCAGTCTTTATTTATTGTTGTTACTTACTGAGTTGGCGTAATCACGTTACTCTCTGCACCTTATATGCAGATTCAGGTGTAGCTGGATACGGTAGCAGTTATTGAGTGTTCTGGTTGCAGATTTTCTTGGAGATAGCAAGGTCGCTGTTTGGCGATCGCAGCCCCTGCTCTTATCCCTCTTATCTTCCTCTAGTTGTATTTAGTTATTTTCCAGGCTGAGTTAGCCTTGATATTGTTAGATAGTTTGTAGTAGATGCTCATGACTAGTGATACCCCGAGGTCGGACTTTTCTTTCCGCACTTTTATTTTGATTGGAACTCCTTTACGAAGGTTTTTATGTTAAATAACATTGAAATTATCTTTGAAATGAAATTATCGGTTTGTTTTGGAAATGAGTCGGTTGGCCTAGTTCCACGATAGGCGCCATCACGACAGAAGTTAGCTTGGGTCGTGACAGGTACTACACCCAACAAGAAGAAAATGCACCTAGTAGGCTGGGACACTATTGCCTAGCCTAAAAACCAAAGAGGGTTGGGAATACAAAAGGCTGAGTATAAAAACAAAGTTATTCACTCGGGCCTTTCATGGAGACTCCTTCACAACACCTCCTCTTTATGAGCAAAGACTCTGATTGCCAAGCACTGTAACTGGACTCATCCCCCCCCCCAAAAAGGTAAATCTTATACATGCCAGTGTATGCTAAAAGGGTAGGACACTTACAGAAAAGCCATAAAATGGGTGGTGCACAAAGGTGACAGAGTCAGCTTCCTAAATGACTCTTGGATCCCCAACTACTCACCCATCACGAATATGATTGAGGGCCCTCTAAATTTACCATTCAGCCAAAGTAGCTACCATATAATAATGGGCTTGGGACACCTCCTCCATATCCTTGAGCATCCCTCCTAACATCAGATATCTTCTCTCAGCTACCTTTATTCCATCCAATACCATAAAGGAGGACAAAATGATTTGGGGTAAAACTAGCAATGGCCTCTTCAACACTAAATCAGCCTATAGCCTCCTTGCAAATAAAACTCTTCAGAAAGTGGATGAGGAAAACAATAGCTACATGTGGATTTGGAAGCTAAAGGTCCCTAACAAGATCAAAACCTTCATATGGCTCTTATACCATGGAAGGCTTCCCACAGGGGCCTATGTCCAAACAATTGGGGTTCATTGTAACCCGATGTGCTGCTTCTACTCTACTGAAATTATGACTTGTGCCCACATCTTCTTTGATTGCCCTAATGCAAAATTATTCTGGCAGCATCTAACCTCCCAAAGAACCACAACAACCCAAAGTCAGCCCCAACCTTCACAAGTAGATCCTAGTCTAACACTTGGTCAACCCTTAGAAGAAAGCCCTTCAATAACATTCTTAGCTGGGAAGACCATTTTCCTTTTAGCTTCTAGCAGCTGTGGATTACTAAGAATAACAACCTTTTCAACAACAAAAAGGATCGTATCCCTACTTCTGTTGTAATGGCTTAGGCAATTGAGTATATCACTATCTTAGCTGGTCAAACATCCACAAAAGAAAAGACCATCTGGGTCAAATGTGTTCCTCCGTTAAGATGTCATTACAAGCTCAACACCGACGGGGCTGCTTTAGAAATCCTGGGAAGGGTGGTGTGGGAGGAGTTTTCAGAGACTCTAGTGGCAACTGGGTAGTGGGATTCATGGAAAATCTACCTCACACCACAAACACCCAAGCTGAACTACTTGCAGTGCTGCAGGGATTACAAATTGCAGAGCAAAGAGGAATCATTTCCCTAGAGATCAACACAGATCCAACAGAGGTAATAAGAATGCTTAATTTGGATAACCATGTCTTTGACTCAATTATTTTTCAATGCATGTCAATCATCCTAAGATTGGGAAACGTTGTGGTGAAACATGGCTACAGAGAGATGAACAAAGTAGTTGATCTGATGACAAAGGAGGGTGCAAAGAAAAACGTTTTTGGAAGAACAATAATCATGGCAGTTCTTCCTGTGTTTGCGAATGAAGCTTTTTGGGCTGACATCTTAGGAACTGCTTTTTCTAGGAAGATTTTAGACTGTAATATTAATACTCTTGANGTGACATTGCTTCTTCGGCACGAACCGAGGAATCCCTTAGATATGATGCAAAACGGCTCTTGTTAAATTTCTTTTTTATACAACTCATGATATATTTCTTCTGTGCATATCTCGGTTTTAATAACTTAAGCAAACAACTAGTACATGATATTCTTGACCCACTTTCGTTGTGGCCGTAGAGGCGTATCGAGGAGTTTAAACAGATAGGTGCACCATGTACTATTACGAAGAGGTAGGCATGAATTCGAACACAAGAGAAAATAACTTGAAATCATGATATCCATGGGCCATGACTTAAATTACGCATGTCTAGAAAACATAACATGAGTTGCTGAGGTTTCCTTTTCATAAACTTTATTCCATTGTCTGGTCAAAGGACTTGATTGACACAGAGAACTTGCTCTGTTAAATTTTGTCAACTTTAATTGGCCTAAAATAGAAAAAGATTAATTAGTTTGGTTCCTTTTTCTCTCACCTTTAATTAGTTGTAATCTGAACGAAAAAAAAAAAAGAAGACAAGAAAATAATAAAACCTTGTGGAAAGTTATATAGTGAAATTTTCAGAATGGTTTGATCTGGTAACACTAACATCCCCTATGTTTGTGATATCACATTAAAATCAAAAAGCAAAAGATAAAAGTTGATAATTTAGAGGGTAAAATAGGTATTTGGCTATCAAATATTTGATAAATCTGGTTGAGTGACCTTCTGAGTGCTATAGGTATAGTTAAATGACTTTGTTGTTACAAACGAAAGAAAGACGACTTTGGTAGATAATTTTGAAAAGTTGAATGATTACGTGGGTAATGAACTCGTATTTTTACCATTATTGTCAAGGACTACTTTTGTTCAAAGATTTTCTTTGGCCTTTTAGAATTTTTGTTTTCAGCCCCATAAGGCAAGAGGAAATGATCGTAGAACACAATTGCTTCGCTGGGTTGTTTATGTGATTTGTATTTGTGTCAATTGACGAGAGAATTTAAGCTTCTTTAATTTATGCACAACACAAATACGAGGTAATTGTTGTCAGTATTATACAATTTGAAGAGTCAGACATGGAGGAAATTTCGTTCACCTTCTTTGAATTTCATCCGGAGTTCTACCATTGTTAATGGAGCAACGCATTGATTATGAATCGACGGTTTTGAAGCAAAATATGAGATACCAGCTCATTGCTCGAATTCAATTTGATATTTAGACTAAAAACAGAAGAACTCTCGGTCATGCCTCATCCTAGAAAGTAGAAAGGGTTATTTTTCTATAATTTGGAGCATAACACAGTAAGGAGATTTGAAGGCCACGAGGACAATGCTCTGCATCTATTCCATTTAGTAATATGCCTTACTCCAAAAGCCTCTTTACCATACTCTAACTCTCTATATATCCTTCATTTAGTAAGTACTTAATTTTATTCTTTTGCTCGTTTAAGCGGAAGTTAGCTATCTCATCCTGTTAGTTTTATTAGGCCAAACCACAAAGAAGGTCTCTGAAATATTCCCTAAAAGTTTTGTTTAGTCAAAGTATGCATTACCAGTTAGTTTGGTGAGAAAATGGGAAAGTATATGAAGTTAAAGAGGAGTGTATAAAACACTTACTCAAATTATACATTATATGACAAGCACTTCAAATCATAAATATGTCACTGAGTTTTTAGTCTCAAAAAACTTATACTAGATCCAGAAGTTAAGTAGGTATTAGAAATCAAAGGCCCCAACCATGGATGATATTACTCTCAACGGCCATGCTCCTTGACCCTGAGGGTCCTTCTGCAGCCATATAGTGATGATACCTGTTTGGAAAACGAACATTCCAGATTAAAATTCCCTTCAGAATGACAAGATGAAGATGATAGGAAGTATTGAACCGGGGTTATCTCAACTCCTACCAATTGCTAAAGGGTCATAGTAAGGAGTCAATTTTCAACAGTTTTTGAATCCCTTTTGCTATAATGCTGGAAGCTTTCATTTTAACAATACACACGCACACACAAAAAAAAAAAAAAAAAAAAAAAAAAAAAAATCGCTGATGCACGGTACAATATTCTGACAAAGGAGATCCAGTTGAACTGATCCGACCATAGTTTCCACTACTCCTGAATATAAGTTTAATTTCACAGAATACTAGGTTTAGAAGGAAAGCAACCTAAAATAGTGCTACAACATATTCTTTTTTGGGATAAGCACAATATATTGTACCTGATTTAAGCCCAACCCTTTCAATTTGTTATCAATTTGCAGATCCATAAAATAATTCTTGAGACCAAATAACATACAGAGGATTCTGGCAGAGAATCCTTAGATGGTCATGGGACCTTTATGTTTTGAGAGCTTATCTGTAAAAGGGAACTACCCCCTTTATTAGTTCCCTTTTCTCTTGTATATCCTTTATGTATCTTTGAGGTTCCGGTTTTATGTCCCCCTTTTTATACACTTTTGTTAATAATACACAAGGTAGGGGTCCAGGCCAAACCCCTAGCATTACGGGTGGTGAAAATCTGGGTAGATGGATTAATTAAAAAAAAAAAAAAAACATACAGAGGAGTTAAAAAAAATTCATAACCCCCTTCCCTACTCCCCTATAGAAAAAAAAAAAAGAAAAAAAAAGGGAAGTTGGAAATTTAAGATTGATGAAATGTAGGTATACCCTATTTGAAGTACTGGATCAGGTTCACATTCCATGTGATTTGATTGAGAAGGGTGGACAGCAAAACTGCTGCTTCCAGCTGATGCATTACAAGTCCATGGAAATGGAAGAGGTCTGAGTCCTTGTCCTTCTGCCTCTAGCTGCCAATATAAGAAAACAAACTCTTCATTACTATATATGTATATACAGACTCCACAAAGTAGCAGAATATATTTCTCAAGTTTGAATGAATACCGATGATAGTTCCAAAGAAACCTTAATCTTCAGTTGCTTGTTCACATCACCAAGTTGACGCTCCTGACAACATAATCCATTATCACGTCAAAATAGATAATTACAGCGTAGTTCTCCATTATTTTTACATGAATTGTGGTCCTTACTTGCCCCTGCTAACTCGGATCGGAACTCCTAAGAATCTCTATGAACTGATATACATGGTGATCAAACCAATTAATAAGATGTGTGTCGTTCCGACTCACCTCACTCTTTCTTTCCAATCTATTTGACTCTTTAATTGTTAATTCTTTAGGTGGTACCTCGAGTCACTAATTTCCTTTAGAACAGATGGGAGAAATTAGGCGAGACTTAAAGCCCGTAGCCAACAATCATCTAGCAAATTCAAGTACCCTTTCTTTTATATATATATATAAAGAGATCTAGGGTCAAGGGCTATTGACACAAAAAGACGGAATCTAGTACTGTTCTTAAGATTCTAGGCCTTACCTTTTATAACAAATTTATAATTGTGATAACTATGAAAAATCATATTTCTAATTTGTTTGTACTGATCAAAGTAAAGTATTCGTCTTTCTGCATATTTTGACTTACCTTTCTGCGGAGCTCCTCCATCTGTTCCGCCATTATTTGTGTCTACACAAAAAAAACAATGCTTATTAACAAAAAATAAAAATTTATAAAAGTCTATATAATACCAAACAATGATAAAGATGGAAATATTACAAGCCAAATTAGATCACTAGCTAACTGCGCGTGATGATTTGAAAAACGTATTGGTACATTTTAATTTTTCCAGTATTTTCTTATTTGAATTTTTTTGGTCCTTTGATTCGTGTGTCCTTGTTGCTTATATCTTTCTTGTTACTGGATGGTGTTTCTTTTTGTTCAAACTTAATCTTAAGCACTAACTTGGCCTTTTTTTAGTCTAACCAAGTCTAAATATACTAGATACAACACACAAAGATTTAGTTGTAAACAGGGAAATGAAGCAAAAACAATTACTTTGAAAACAATCTAATACCTTTCTTTGCCTAGCTTGTGCAAGTGCACCTTCAAGTTGTTTTTCAAGATTTTGCAGCTCCTTCAGACTCAGTGGCCCAAGATCTTCACCAAGCAAGTGCCTTCATGTATCAAAATAACATCTCAGAAATTTCGACAATATTTTTTTCCCAAGGATCGGATAGTCACGAAATTATTTTGTTTATCTACATTTATGTACAACAATAAGGTGCCAAGATGTGTCTGAATAAGCAATTGACATAACCTTTGAGTTCGTTGAAGGGCTTCAAATTTGGCCTTTAGTTTTGAGACCTCTTGGTACCAGCTCTAAGTTTACAATGAAAACAAATTATGCTTAGGAAACACCATAAATTATGATAGGCCAATTGATTAATTGGTGTGGAAACATAGAACATTAAGCTGCAAATTCACCTGTGTTTCTCTCTCACCGCAGTTGTCTTGAGGATTAAGGCAACAACGTTGGTACCTCTCAAGGGTTTTAGTGATACTGCCAACAGAAAAAAACACAATATTCAAAGTCTAAACCATACATGTTACTACAATTTATAATAGTATGTTATTACAATTAATAAAATAGCTACAAAATGTTCTTGACAAACTCCAAGAAAATGCCAGCTAACAGATTGGTAAGTTATTACTCTGAACAACACTCAATTCTCCTACAAGAAATTTAGCACCTACAAGTTACAAGTTTTAGATAACACATGGAGAGACATTAAGATGCACAATGGCCATGATTTACAGAGAGGACTTTAGCTTCCCTCCATGCTAAGTGGAACTAATAACTTGAATAATAAGGCAATCTGATACCACGTGTTAAAAACACACTAATAGTATTACAATATCTTTTTAAAAATAATATAAAAATTTATTACACTGTCGGACTGTCGGTGCATATAAGTTAAATCCTTTAGCACTTAACAGAAACTTTTACAGAAATGTCCTGCATTAAGCCAGTAGAATCTAAAAATTAGGAGTCCTAAATCACAAGTAACCATTGATACGTCTGCCGCTAAACGTTCACAATTTTCAAAAATGGATAAAATGTTAAATTGAAATCTTTCCTGCACATTATAGCCATACAAAGACAAATCTTTATCTATATTTATGTACAAAGACTATTTCCAGTAGTCAAAAGCAAATTTTCTGTTTAAAAAAAGAAGCAA